CCTGATTATACTAATATTTATGCATGTCAAGATAATAATATTTCGATGTCAAGATGCAGCTAAAGAGCTTTATCTTGACATCAAAAAAATTACAAGAGGCTTGCGAGCTGCAGGTTGTACAACTTGTATAAACGTTTAAACAATGTAATGTAGACAATGTACTTACAATGTAAGTTACATGAATCTTTTTTGAATGCACAGCAGACTGAGACAACAATAACTTTGAAAAAATAATAGCGTTACGAGTCTTGTGTGTAGTTATTTAGTTCTGTGTGTATGTCGGGTTTTAAAGCACAAAACGGTTTTTAAAAAGTAGGAATATAAATTATAGGATAGGAATTAAAATGCTGAAGATTAAGTGACTATGTAACACAGAACTGCAAACGCTGTCTAATTTTCCTTCTTTTAAATAGTTAAATTTATAAAAAAAAAGTAACATGTTCAAAAAAAAAAAAAATTGTTGACCTCAACTTTTCTTGACCTCCCCCATTCCCATTGTCAACAATTGACAAAAAAATTTAGACCCTCTCCTCCTGTTTTGTTGACTTAATTAATGGACAGCCCCTAATATAAAAAACCGTAAAACAAGCAATAAAACTTCAATGTAATGTATTCTTGCTTGCGTCTTAAATAAAAAAAATAAGGTTTCCAAAACGACGATGTGACGTAATTAAGGTCATCTTTATTCAAACTAGCTTCATTTGCAGAACGCTGGTGACAGTGGCGGATTTAGTATAGGGCGTGAGGGGGGGAAGGCAAGCTGCCCCCACGCCCCCCTAGAACGGTCTAACGGCGCCCCCTAAAACAATCAAAATATATATATATATATATATATATAAGATCAAATTACTGAAGGCAACCCCGGTCGCCCCTATTGGGGCATTATTATGCGTGTTAAAACTTTAGCTTTGTTTCACCTGCATAAATTTTTTTTCCCACATGAACACTCCAGATTTTTATATTACTTGAATAATGAGGGTATATCTAATCCCTAGAAAAATTGTTTATATTTAAAAGAATTCTAAAAGGATAAGTTTATATACTATAAACAGATGTTTTAACTTAAAACTTATCTAAGATATTAACTTTTAAAAGTTTTAAATAAAAAGTGTTACAATTTTCTATTTTTTTATTCACAAATTAAGCTTAAACTTTTCGTACTTTTATTTTTTTTATGACGATCCCGAAATTCCGGAAATATTCGGAAACTAATCCCGTGATTTCGGGATGAACAATTTATGCAGAATCCCGGGATTGCTAACCCTATCCAAAAAAGACAGAAGTTATAGTATTTTAGGACTTCAGTGATTTTGAAGAAAAAGAGTACTTAAAATTGAAATAAAAATTTTTTGAAATATTGATAACTTGATGACACCTAAGATTTCAACAAATTTTCAAATTTTTTCGTTTTTCAAACGAATTTTTTCAAAATTTTCTGTTTTTTAAACGAATTAATTCAGCAGATTTTAAATAAATTTTACCTTTCTTCTATGATTCTTATGCATGTAGTAATGGCAAAAATTATTTGATAAAAAAAAAAGCTTATAAAAATTGAAACCTGCATATATTTTTGTTGTTTATTCTTAAATGACCGAAGTTACTTGGTGACCGAACTTGGAGACGATTTTACGGTGTACTCATAAATAGTTTTGATAAAAAAAAAAATTATTTTTTAAGCAGATATTTCAAGTAGTTTTTTAAATTAAATGATATTTATTTGTTTGCATATAATTTTTTTTTAAAAAAAACTAGTTATAAATATGTATAATACATCTAAATATCTAAACCAAAATATAATCTACGTCAACAACTAAATTACTAAACGCAATTTCGTTACAAAAATTGCTGTTTCTTTCTTTAAAATAGCAGAAATGCCGAAAAACCACGAAGTAAGAAAGCATCTTACCCCACAAAATAGAGAACATCTTACCCGACGAAACAGAGGACATCTTGCCTCATCTTTAGTATGCACAAGTTTAAGACAAATAAAACTAACTTTATCGCACTGGTGGATTCAGCAAAGGGTGTGGAGGGAGGGCGAGCACCTTACCCAAGCCAGTCAACTAGCGCCCCCTAAAATATAAGTTTCTTATTGCAAAATTCTGCGCTTATTTTAAACGGAAATAGGACAATAGGTAAAAACAAACCATCGTTTAAATGGTTACTTTACAAATTTTCACGAAGATTATCAAAATTATCTGTGATCAAAAATAAAAAACGAAGTCTTTGATAAAAATCTCATAAAAGCGTCAAAAAAAAATAATTATAACAAGTGCTATTCTATATATTTCTCAGGGTTAATGTGCCATCCCAACCCTGTTTCCCCCTACTCATTCCCCAGCCCCTCTCAACCTCCACCACCATGCTAAACCTCAATCCGCCACTGCTTTATCGCTCTGTTATTAAGCTTATTTTTTATTATTATTGTTAGATAAATTTTTTATAAAACAAATAATTTGCTATCTTAATCGCCTAATTATTGACTGCTCAATAAAGATTAGCAATTAAATGCAATTTACGAAATGTTATGCATTGATTAAAAACTGAACTAATAGCAATATTGAAAACATTTTTTGTGCCACGATACTATTTTAACTTTATCACAAGTACATTAGAGGCATAAAACATTATCATTCTATGATAGGCTTACAAAAGCTCAAAGACTTTTTGCTCCACCCTATTCTATATATTAAGTTTAGCGCTGACAGTTTTTGATAACTAGAAGGATAGATTTTTTGTTTTGTTTTATGTAACATAAGAATTTTACAACTTCGTACTTCTTAATAACTTCGTACTTCTCAATAAAAAGTAATTAAAACAGATAGGGGCTCAAAGAAGATGAGAATGACAGTACGTCATCGCAATCTTTTCATACAGCCCTTTTAACAAAATTTCAATAAAATACCGTAATATGTAATACGTAATAAAATTTCGTAAAAGTATGTACGTAATAAAATTTCAATTAAATATCGTAATAAATATCATAATAAAATGCGTAATACACTGATAAGATTGTTAAGCAACAAACAAAAGTAGAATAGTAACATTAATTAAAAACGTTTCTCAAGTTTTAAAAATTTCTTTTTTTGTTATAAATTTGAATGAACTTATAAAATTTAAAATGATTTTATTCACAGTAACTCTTTTTAACTGATGTTAAAATTTTTCAATAGCTTATACCATATGATAAAGCTATAGAAAACATATTTGTTATATATATATATATATATATATATATATATATATATATGTATATATATATATATATATATATATATATATATATATATTATATATATATATATATATATATAATATATATATGAACGACATATTTATATATATATATATATATATATATATATATATATATATATATATATTTATATATATATATATATATATATATACTATATATATATATATATATATATATATATATATATATATATATGTCGTTCATATATATATATATATATATATGTCGTTCGATTGTAAATATAATTTTAAAAAGCTGACGAAAACACACGTTAAAAACATTTTTAACTATTTATATATATATATATATATATATATATATATATATATATATATATATATATATATATATATATATATATATATATATATATAACAATTTCTAATCAATAATCGGTACTTAATCAACAAATGGTACATTATAGTAATAAAGTTTCTTTTTAAAACAAATATGATCACGACCGCAATATGTTGAATTTTTTAAACTGTTTTATTAAATTGATAAAACTTTGTGTATTAAATAAAGTTATGCATTAAGTAAACTTTGTTTTAAAATAAAATGTAAAATTATACATACTGTAAAAAAATTTACATTTAACACATAATTACAATATTGCAAGTTACAAATACAAATATTTACATATATTATACGAAGTTACAAATTACAAGTACAAACATTTGTTGCAAGCTTCAAATTATTTAGTATATGTTAAATGGTTTGAATTAAATCAAAATATTTGTTTGTTTTGTTGAGGAAAAGATAAACAATACAATAACTACTATAATTGTGTCGTTCGATTGTAAATATAATTTTAAAAAGCTGACGAAAACACACGTTAAAACATTTTGAACTATTTATGGTCCACCTGTGAAAACCCATACTTTTAAAACTTGACTTTTTGATTAAATTATTAAAATACTTTCACTACTTTAAATGTAGGAGATTTTCCTTTGTGTGATATGTAATACTTTTGACTGCGGTATGAGCCGTGTCAGAAAAAGGTTTATGAACAAAGTTTGACGTCTGAATGTCGTAATATGTGATAAGTTTCGTGAACGTTTTAAGTACTTAAATACTTGAAGATTACATTTTTTTAAGAAAAACTATAGTGCATAATTAGTTATATATAATATATAAAATTAATTTGTTTGAAAAATTCCCGCGGGTTTAACTTAAATCAACAAACATTCTCGCGATTTAATATGTATACCCGCGAGTTCTACGAGTCCAACACACCTCACACACGCCTAATTCATACTATCCTAAACCTGTGTTGCTGAGACGTTCTTATCGATCAAAAATGTACCGACTAACATCGTCTCTCTCCAAGTTTGCTGGCCATAATATTAAAAGATATAATGTTTTGGACACATCAAAATGTGCTATGCTGTCTAGCACTTCAGTGCTAAATAGCAATACCAACGATGGCGAGCCAAACTTCCTTGAGATGGTTAGTATCTACGCACAAAATGCTCATGCCATAACACTGAAAAGACTTTTGGAAAAAAAACCTGCTCCTGGAAAAAAGCAAGAAGATCCCACGGTTAGAGAAAAGCATATAAAAGGTTAGTTGTGATTACAAAAGTTTCATTTATAAGAGTTAAATTTAGTCATTAAAGTTTAGATTAGTGAGCTTTCTCGTATGGTTTGAAAATATAAAAATTAAAACATAAATTAGGTATGTATATTGGAATTTTTAAGTTGTTCAGATACTAGTTACATATCATTGGAAAGGGCTCAAATACAGTATTGTAATGTTAAAACAATCAAATACAGTATTTTAATGTTAAAACCATAAGTGAACAATTCTCTCTGAAGTATATTTTATATATAATTCATAAATAACATTTTCAATTATTATTTGTTTTTTATTTTTCGATTTTTTCTATTTATCTAAGTTGTTTTTATTCATGGAAATTGTTCAAATTCTTATATAAATGTTTATAACTTAGATCAAAAGATACTTAGTTATAGTCATCTAATCATTAGTTTAATTCAGGGACTATAGGAGATGCCAAACCACTTCCTTTTCTATAAAAAAAATGCAATTTTTTTTCTTAATAAAGTGCTTTTTTATGACATAAATGTTTCTTTATTCTAGACCACAAAAAAATATGAGAAGTGTATATTAAAGTTTGAGAAAGATGTTTTGGTTTAATAAACCATGCTATCAAAAATGTTTAGAACTTATACATTTAATTTAACTGAAGAATAAAATTAGTATAGAATTTGTATTAAACATAATAAAAATTGTATTTTACAAGATTTTTATTAGTTGTGTATACATAGAATTAAAGGAGGACATGTTTGCCAGACGCATGTATGCACACACACCCACTCACCTTACAAATTTAAAAATTAAAAAAAGTACAAATTTAAAAATTAAAAAAAAATTTTAAAGTAAAAAATTTTAATTACTGTATAAAAAGTTACCATAATAAACCATAAATTTGACTTTTGGCCCATAGCATAATACTAATTGTTTTTTTGTATTTTTTGAATTATGATATGCATGGTTGAGTTTATGGTAATTGCATACTTCCTAAAACCAAAAAAAAAAGGTTTTAAAACAAATCAAATTAGTATAAAATGTATATTTTACTAAATTACCAGACATAATTACACATTAACATATGGCGTATCTGTTGAGTTTAGAAACATTTGCACCTGCTTACCAAAAAAAAATTTTAAATAAAAAATTAAATTAGTTTGCGATAAGTTATTAAGATATCAGGCAGCTACTATTGAGTGGTCCCTTTGATAAGTCAATAGTGGTAATATCCAAATAGTTATAATATTAATTATCTCAAAATAGTGATCTTATGTATAACTCAAAATAAGTTTAATCTAAAAAATCTGATATTCACACATATTTGCTTTTTGGCATTTGTATTACAAAACGCTGCTCTTAGAGCTGTAAAGTTGTACATTTTACTGTTCCAATGGTTGAAAGGTGTTTAAAATTCCTAGTGTTTCTTTAAATTTCTTAAATGGTGAGAAAGGTACTTTAATATAACAACCGTTTTAACAATACAATATATACATCATGGATCGTCTTTGAAATCTTAAAACCATATCTTGTTAATAGTCAAAATTATGCAATTCATGTTATATGATAACATTGTATCATAGTAATAATATTACTATAATATAATATGCAATTATTTTTAGAATAACTCAACTACCTTCATTTAAATCATTTTACCTGAATATTATTTTAGTTATTGGTGTTCTCATTAACATTACAAATTAATAATCTGTTAACAGTTCAATTATAATTATTTACAATGATTTAATTATAGTCTATATGTTAGGATATGGCGTCACAGACTTTTGACAAAATGAAAAATGTAATTAAACTTTAAGGCTTTTCTTTTTAAAAAAATAATAATATACAGTATTTTGTTTTCATGGATTATCAGCAAATAATTTTATTTGTGTTATTTTTCACTTGGTCAAAAAATGTTTAATTTATGTCTTCTTTATATTATATTTGTTCAGTATTTATATATCTTTGAAAAAGATAAAAGTTAATAAAGAATTTTAAAGTGTTACTTAATTGTTTTGGATTTTTATACCATCTTTTTATAAAATTTTGTTTATTAAAATAATGTACTAAACCTAATTAAAATTAAGATTTTTACTTTGCTTTTCAACATAAAAAGTTTATGTTTTTCTTTTCTTTGATTGAAATAATGTATTTGTCAATAATTTATTTCAATATACAACAAAATCAATAATAGATATTTTAAATGTTGTTAAATTTTTATTATAAAGTGTCGACAATTATGTTTCACTTTCATTATATTTCATTTCTTTGTTTTTTTTTTTTTTTTTTTTTACCTAACAGATTAAAGAAGAGAAAATCTAAATCATAAAATTTAACTTTTACGACAATACTTATTTTTATTGATGTCAAAAATAAACCAATTAATCAAAACAGATTTTTTTAAAAAGAAAAATTACGATTTGAAAATTTTACTGAAAAAAAAAAACATTGTTTCATTGAAAATGAAACAGTGTTTTTCTTAAATCTTAGGATAAGTAGAATCCAGAGTGAATGTTTTCCTTTTCACTTTATCAATAAAATATGTAATCATTATTTGTGGTTATGAATACAACAAAAAATTAAACATTTTACATTAAGTTAGTTCATATTAAGAACAATTTGTAACGATTACTAGTGAAAATGTAAAATAACTCCATAACAGCCATAGTGAAATGATTAGAGTTCTTTCTCGGAATCTAGGTCTAAGATTTTATGTTTGCTCTGCCCTTATTAGCGACGTTAGTAAGAAAGGAGAATGAACTTTTTAGTTAAATTGCTCTTCCATGGTGCTTTGTGATTAAAAAAAAAAAGTTTTTTATCGGGCAATTGTGGATTGTTGTGAGGACTTTCCAAGTAAAAAATATTAAACTACTAGCTTATTCTTCTGTAGACATACAGCATTTATTTGGGTAGATCTTTGCTGCATATATCTACTGTGTCCCTAAAATAAACATTTGTTGATAGTTTTTGGCATTTAACAGATCTTTCTCTTTTTCAATATATTCATCGACATCTGATTCACAAGTTATTAGGCTGCCTTGTTATTTTAAACAAGCTAAGAATTTCTCTTGGATGTCTAATGTTCTGTTCTGTTCTTTTTTTTTTGTTTTTTTTGTTTTTTTATTATATATTACCAAAATTTTAAACAATCGGACTCATTTCTTAAAATATTTCTAATATACCTGAATCTTGATTTCATAATGATTTGAATATTTAAGTATATTACCACAAGGAGTTTTTTTTTATTGACAGTGTTTCTGAAGCCAATTGCAATGAGTGCCTAGTGGAAGCTCAAGTTCAATGTTTTTAGTAATAGTTATATCAACTACAAAAACTTGATTAAAAATGTAATACACCAGTTATTCCATAATTGCATTTTTTTTTCAAACTTCTATAACATTCTAATTTTCTGTTAAAGAAATATAGCTACAATTTGAAGAAATATTACTAAATTTTGAAAAATTATTTTTGCAAAAATGATACAATCATTTCGGGTTCTTATGTATATATATGAGTTTCTATGGCTACTGAGCAGACAATTTAATTTAATGAAAATTTCTGGTAATTTATTGTTGACTTTGTTACATCAAAATACAAAATCGCCCTGAGTAAAGGCAACTTGTTTGATAAAAGTTATCAGCTACTGGGAAATTTCAAAAGAAGTTTATTAATTTTGATTTATTTGGGAATAGTTTATGGTTTATCTATTTACAAGTTTGTTACTTCTTGTTGCAATTTTTTTTTATTGTAATTGGTATCTAAATTTAGTTTACAAAATTATTAGCAATGTATTTTTTAGGGATGTAAATCAAAAGCAAATTTTTACACTAGTGTATAACTAATTTTTGTTTAAACACAATTTTAATCCATTTTAATTCAAGTTTAATTAGTCAAAATTTAAATTGCATGAGTTTTAACATAATGATGCATAACTTTACAGGCAATATATGCTGCAAAGATTTTTAGTTTTTTAAATTCATTAAAATGTTATAAATAGAAAATCAAACACGAAAAAATATTAGCTAAAAATAAATTGTTTTTTAAACTTTTCTTAAAAAATTAAGAGTAACTAGTTAAACAAAAAATATAGAATTTTTGACCCAATCTCCCCCCCCCCCCCCCCCCCTCTCTCTCTCACACCCTCCGAGTTACAGGTAATTTTTTAAGTAAATTGTATATAAAGGAAACAGAACTTTTCAAGAAATATAAATTGCTTTTTAAAAAATAAAAATATCAATGCGCTTTTAATTTTTTGATTATTATTCAAATAACTTAAAAGTTAAATTAAATTTGCATCTATGATATATATATATATATATATATATATATATATATATATATATATATATATATATATATATATATATATATATATATATATAAATTTGCATCTATGATATATATTATATATAATCTGCAATTTGTTTGCTTAATCGCAGTGCAATTTTTTTTTTTTAATTTTAAAAAGTTTTTTTTCTTTACTAGGTATTTTGGATATCATTAAACCCACAAACACAGCTTTGTCTGTATCTTTTCCTTTGAAAAGAGACAATGGTGATATAGTTATTATTGAAGGATATCGTGCTCAGCACAGTCACCATAGATTACCATGCAAAGGAGGTAATTTATATATAATTGATCTTTTCTAACGTTTTTATTGTACGCGAAGGCTTTAAATAGAATTAAAAATAAATTACAATGACCTTTTAAAATAAACGCATTTTGTGTAAATGAAATATGTAAATTTTTTTAGTTGGTATTTCATAAGATTACTTTTTTTAAATACTTTATATTATTAATAAGTTTAAATGAAATCGTCACGTTGCAATCAAATGATTTATTTGCTTTTTTTTTTTTTTTTTTTATTCTTTACAAAATTGTTTAAAAGCTTCTTTTTTTGATTTACTAACCCTGACTTGACTTACTAATGAAATGATTAAAAATTACTATTTTTAAAAGACTACGTTATTATTTAAAAAAAAAAATTTGTTTGCGATTTTTTCTAAAATGAAGTTTATACAATTTAAAAATATATATATTTTTTTTCATTTCGATAATTAATTTCACTTTTTGTTAAATAAACAACAATTTAAATAAAAAATTTTCATTTATCAATAGGAGTAATTTGTTAAAGCGTTTTAAAGTAATTTATTTTAAAAGCAATAAAAACGTAAAAAAAAGTAAATTTCGCCTCTATATATATATATATATATATATATATATATATATATATATATATATATATATATATATATATATATATATATATATATATATATATATATATATATATATATATATATATACATATATATATATATATATATATATATATATATATACATATATATATATATATATATATATATATATATATATATATATATATATATATATATATATATATATAGTTTAAGTTATTGAGTTTTGTTTTAACAAAAAAATTATTTGTGAGGTTAGCAATAGTGTTCGATTGCACACCATTCCTGTCCGAGCCCAAAATATATATACTGGGACAATTCTAGGGAAAAAATATGGGCGGCAGTACCCCTTCGTCTCAGAGAAATTTAGCAGAAAATCTGCATTTTTTTTGGGGAAAAAAAAAACAAGATTAGCCGAAAAAAAATAAATAAATAAGGTTCTCAAATTTTAATTATGGGGTACCCAATTTGGCGTCCAAATACGGTCAGCGTTGTTGAAAGCAGTCTAGAATAGCCCCTGATATATATATATATATATATATATATATATATATATATATATATATATATATATATATATATATATATATATATATATATATATATATATATATAAAGCAATTCTGCAAAAATAACTAAACAAAATATGAAAACACATATTAAACTCTTTTTTTAACTTTTTAAAAATACTTTCAAGCCAAAAAGTTGTTAAAAAAAGTCATTTTATCATACCCTAGCATAATTTTTATGTTGTATAAGCGTGTTATGACGTTTATTTACAGTCCTGTTGTGTAGTGTTAAAAATCATACCGTAAAACCATAATTGAGAACTTTAATAATATTATAGTGCACTTTTTTATCAATAATTTTCATGATTTTTAATAGTCATTTCTACTTTTTTTTATTTATTTTTTTTTATTTTTATTTTTATTTTTTTTTTTACAATATCAACTGCATTGTTTTTTATTATTGGAATTTTTGTCATGATTGTAACGACAAAAAATACATTAAAACTCAGTTTATAATAGTATCAATATGTCCTAATTACATGCCAAATGATTTTTTTTTAACTGTGCTGTTCTCTGTATTAAGTCTGACAAAGTTGTTTTGTTCATAAGTGGTAAAAGGTAGATGTTACGACTGTTATGTCTCCTTTTTACCACTCTACGTAGAGTTAATTTTTGAAAAAAGTTTAAGACTTTAATGCTGTATTCTTTGCATACTAAATTATATTATAGTATTTCACATTTATGGGAAGTTTCAAGTCATCTCCATTTTTGGATCATTTTTAATTGCTTAAAGAGTGTCAAATGTTACAACCATCACTTGCAGAATTTTTTATTTATATATATATAATATATATAATATATATATATTATATATATATTATATATATTATATATATATTTTATATATATATATATATATATATATATATATATATATATATATATATATATATATATATATTAACTTATTTGTAAAAAGATTTACAGTTGCCCTCAAAAATTAAAGCGAAACCTAATGTTAATAAACAGTTTTAATTTATTCCATTTCAATTATTCCATTAAAGCGAAACCTAATGCTAATAAACAGTTTTTACTATCCCACATTTGTATCTATGTTCATACCATAATTTTAAATATACTTGTGTTTGTAGGTTTAATTTTCTTGTACCTTAGTATATTTATACCTTTTAAAACAAATAAAAACATAATCACGACATCTTTAAATTTTATAAAGCAGTTTTTTGTAGAAATATTAAAGTTTAGTGATTTAGCTTTTTATTTATATATTAGAATTTTATTTTTATTAGTTTATTTAAAATTTTATTTTAAAAATGTTAACTTTATATTAAACTTATTTGAAAATTATTTATGTAGATAATAAATAGTTGTTGCAACCCTATAACTTAAAACAATGATGCTGTGCAGAGAAATATTTTTGTTTTAGGCAGTTTTTGAATGTTTTTTTTTTAAAACAAGCTTATTTATCTACTAAATATTTTGATGTTAAATAATACAATAGAATAATAATATTAGACAATTTTCTTTTGATCACTTACAATTAAACAAAAAAATTTAGAAGTTAGTGCTTGGTTTAGTTAAGACAATTTTAAAGTATTATAGTGTCTGTATGATATATTGTTGACCAAGACATATTTCTGTTAAATGATCAGGTCTGTGAATTATAACAAATGGCGAAAAAAATTAAAATGTTCAATTTTGCGGTATCATTAAATATAAATGTTTGTAGCTATAAAAAAAACCCAGACCAAAGACTTTTTTTTTTTAAATCTAAAATCACAATTGTTTGCCTTGAATTGAAGTTTGAATAAGATTTTAAATACGTTATTTAGGTGAAATGAATATCATAGTTTAATGTGATCTGTTCTGATTATTTATTGGCAATTTTTCTTAATTATAACCTCTTTCTCTGTCAGAGTTCTAGTATTTTTTGTAAAAATTGATTGAAGTATTGTATTTTGACAACTATATATTTTTATTAGAACCATTAGAACTAAGTATCTATAGTGGGTTAAGGCACTTTTTCAAAAGATTTTAGCTAAATTTATATTAACACTGATAAGCCAAAGTGATCTTAAGACTCCAAAATGGTGTTTTTTAGATTCACTATTAAGGTTAGTAAAAAGGTTTTGAAAATTATATTAAAAAAAAGAAGTTCTTATTTTAAATTATGTAAAATTATTAGTTCTTTTTTTAAATTATATAAAAAAAGTTTCTTCAAATATTAAAAAAACCTAAGGCAAAAAAAAAATTTTACATCTAAAGCTTTTGTTTGGACATAATACGCTGATAAAATCATACTTATTCTAAATAAAAGAATTTGAATAATTTGTAAATTGCCTTTTAACTACACCGAGTGATCAAAGTTTCACTTTTAAAATTTTTATTCTACAATTAAACATTTAAATGGTTAAACTGAAATGTTTTTTTTTATTAAATAATGTTTAATGTGTAGGTAATATTATCTTATGGTTTATTGTTAAATGTTTTCACATGACTTTATTAATTATTATTAAAGAATGGCAACAATTTTGTTTAGAAACTTTTAAATTAAAACAATTGTATTATTAAGGTATACGTTATGCTGCTGATGTCAACATGGATGAAGTTAAAGCATTGGCAATGTTGATGACATTCAAATGTGCAGTAGTTGATGTTCCGTTTGGAGGAGCTAAAGGAGGAGTAGCTATTCACAAACCAGACTATTCGGTTAATTTTTATTTTATAAAAAGTGCATAATAAGTTTATTATTTTTCTATCTTACTATTTTAAATTTAGATGTTTTACATGTTATAAGTTTTGTATTCTTGATTTAGTTTATTTGAAGTTCATGATGTTATTTTTAGGATAATGAAATTGAAAAAATAACAAGGCGTTTTACACTTGAACTTGCTCGTAAAGGATTTATTGGACCAGGTATTGATGTACCAGCACCTGATATGGGAACTGGTGAAAGAGAAATGAGTTGGATGGCTGATACTTTTGCAATGACACTTGGTTATGGAAATATGAATGCTGCTGGTTGTGTCACAGGAAAGCCTATAAGCCAAGGAGGAATTCATGGAAGAACAGCGGCTACTGGTCGAGTAGGCTTTTTTATATATATATATATATATATATTTATATATATATATATATATATATATATATATATATATATATATATAATAATTTTTATATATATATATATATATATATATATATATATATATATATATATATATATATATATATATATAATAATTTTTACTGTATGGTTTTTTTATTTAGTTTTGTACATATATATTTTTTTTTTTAACACAATAAAAAACTGTTTCATAAACAAGACATAATTTTTTGCAGAATGTCATGTTTACTTTTATTTTATTGAAAAAACAAAAATATAATGTAAAATATAAAGTATTATTAATCTTTGCTAATAATGTAATCAAAATTTTTATTCATTAAAGTTTTTAACCCATCCAGTAAATACTTTTTTTTGAAAGCTTCATTGCTTTATAAAATTTTTAGAATTATTTATAGCTCTTAATAGGCAAATTGTTTAACACTTTAGCTTCTGTGCAGTAACTGTTTTAGGCATATTTGAATCTGGCTCCTAAATTAAATCTCTTAAAAAAATCAATAATATCTATTATTGATTTTTGTTGCTTTTTTCCATTTTTCTTTGAATAGCATGTTTTCCCAGTTTTTATTTTAGTTGAATATCTTTTTTATTGGATTTAGATTGCTTAATGACCCATTATTCTGTTCAAACCACTACTTTTACATTTTACAGCTGTTTTTCAACAAGAATCTTTAAAATATTGTAAAGCTAATATTCAAGCTGTCTTTACAGAGATTTTTGGTAGTTATTAGTTAACAGGTAACTCAGTAAATCGCTGTGCATATTACTAATTAATTAAAATAAAAGGTGAATGCTTAAATGCAGGTAAAAAATACAAGCGAAAATCTCCTATATAGATGTTAGTTTTATTGTGTATGTATGTATAATATATGTACAATATACATATTTTTTACCTGCTTAAATGCAGGTAAAAAATACAAGCAAAAACCTCCTATATAGATGTTAGTTTTAGTGTGTATGTATGTATAATATACGTACATACACACTAAAACCAACAACTATACAGGAGATTTTCGCTTGTATTTTTTACCTGCATTTAAGCATTCATCTTTTAGTTTAATTAATTAGTTATAGGTACAGCAATTTACTGAGTTATCGGTTTGAAATGAAAACAACAACTATGAATTGCCTCAGAAATGTAATAAACTCTCAGAATTTTGTATATCTTATGGAGGTCCTAAATTATGGAATGATTGTATATAGAATTTTGACTGAAATCATAATTTTTTTATATAAAATGGCTGTATATAGAATTTTTTATAACTTATGGAGGACCTAGACTATGGAATAACTATATATACTATATGTACATACATACATACATATATCAACCCTCGGAATTACGAAAAATGAAGTTGGCAATAAATTGCTGACCTCAAAATGTTAGAGGTCGGCATTTGGTCAGCAAAAAACATTTGATGCAGAGGGGTTACCATAAAACATAAAAACGAGTTCAGCGACTTTTTGCCAACCTCAACCACTTTTAGATTGGCGTTGCCATTGCATTCTGAGGTCTGCATATATACACACACACATATTCATAAACTCGATCTTTTATTAAATATTAGGTTAGTTAATATAGCATTATTCTTGTAATTACTAAAGTAGATTTTCATGATAAGATAAATTCATGAAAGATAATTTTAACAAATTTAGGCTCTGCTAATGTTAGCATTATTAAGTTCTTTATTATAATAATTAATTTATGTGGCTTGACAATACCAAGAAAAAATGATTATTTTATTATACTTTTTTTTTTCTTTCTTTAGGGTCTTTATCATGGTGTTAATAATTTTATTAACAATGAACATTACATGAAAATGATTAATTTGGAGCCTGGTTTAAAGGGAAAAACCTTCATTGTTCAAGGGTTCGGTAATGTTGGTTTGCATGCATGCCGTTATCTTAATCGCTATGGTGCTAAATGTGTTGGAATAATTGAACATGATGGAAGTATAAAAAATCCTAATGGCATTGATCCTAAAGAACTCGAAGATTACAAACTGGTATGTTCTTGTCTGAAATTTTGTATAAAGTATTTTTAATATTTGAAAATTTGCTTCAATTTGAAAAAAAAAAATTATTATTCTCATTGGTTTTAAGGCCAATGGTACAATTCGTGGTTTTCCAAATGCAGTCGATACCAACGAAGATCTAATGATAGCTAAGTGTGATATACTTGTACCTGCTGCGAATGAAAGGCAAATTACTATGAAAAATGCTCCATTTATTCAAGCCAAGGTTGGTGTTTTTTTTTTTTTTTTTTTTTTTTTTTATCATCATTTTAACATTATCAAAAATTGTCATTCTAACATTAGTCATCTAAATCAAAATTTAGGTTTACTCTTAATAAATCTCTTTCCTAATAAAGTATTTTTTGTTTATGTTTTTATGACTCTTTTTATGTTGAATTTGGGTTAGTAAAGTTGCTAACTATACTATAAGCTAATATAAATTTTGATTTTTCCTAGATTATTGCTGAAGGTGCAAATGGACCTACAACACCTGGAGCCGATAAGATTCTTCAATCTCGTAAAATCCTTGTGATACCTGATCTTTACATTAACGCTGGTGGTGTTACTGTCTCTTACTTTGAATGGCTTAAAAATATTAACCATGTTTCGTATGGCCGTCTGACATGGAAGTATGAGGAGGAATCTAACTATCATTTGTTGGACTCAGTTCAAGAATCTTTGCAGAGACATTTTAATACTGGCATTCCTATCACTCCAACAGATTCTTTTAAGAAGAAAATTAGGGTGAGTTCCGGAAATTAAAAAAGTTCTCTGTGATAATGTTTAGTGTTATAAATAATTTTTTTGTTGTTGTGATAAATAGGGAGCATCTGAAAAAGATATTGTTCACTCTGGTCTCGAATTTACCATGGAAAGATCTGCAAACGTGAGTTTAATTGGTTTTTAGAGGTGATGAATAAAATCAACATTTTTGTTTACTCAATTTATGCTTTACTTATTTTTCATTTTAGCGCATTATGAAGTGTGCACAAGAGTATGACCTTGGTTTGGATATACGCGCTGCTGCTTACGTCGTAGCTCTTGAGAAAATTTTCAACACATATTCAGATGCAGGCTTAACTTTAGTTTAGTTAAGTTTTTTTAAATGATATTTTTATAGTTTAGTTTTTAGGCACATGGTTTAAAGAGACAATTTGTACGCTTTTTTTCTCCTTATTTGCTGAATGGTGTATAATTTTCAGTAAAACCAGATTTTTTTATGAATGTAACACCTTAGTTAATGATTTTTAAAAAGATATTTTTATTTCGCAGTAAATTTGTTTGTTCGATTTTCTTTTCTTTTTTTCTTTTTTTTTTTTCGCTTTAAGTTTTACTATACCTTATTCAAGTTGAGTACACATTCATATTGGTTGAAAATTAACGGTAATGGATTTCGTAGAATTCACCTCACTAAAAACGTTTAGAATTAACTAATTAAATTGATTCGAATTTTTGTGATAAAAATACAACAGTAAAAATACAAACGAAAATCCAAGGAGGTTTTTGAAATTTTTATAAAATTTTACTTCTATTGAGACCCAACATGCTTTTAAAGAACTTTTTTTTCAAAATATTGGGGACCCGTCTGATGTTTAAAGGTCTTGAGCAACCCCTAAAAGTTTTTTTTATTCAAAATTTTTTTAAATGTAGAAGCCATATTTTAACAATATAGCGGAGCCATATAGCGGAGGGGGGGGGTGCTATGACTTGCCCATTGATGCAAGAGATTGTGCTGATGGCATAACTTTTCGTAGGTACGTTAAGCTACATCATGTAAGAAATTTCACAAAACAATGATATATATCATTAAAATATATTCTATAAAAGTATTGACTAATAAAACAAAAAAATCGCCATTGTAATTCTATATATATAGTATTATTATTAGTCTATTCTTTTATAGAATTCCGTCAAATATAAAGAATTGACAAAAGTTGATAACTGCTCTATGTAGCTATGTAACTTTACTGGTCCTCATAAATAAGCAGTTGTGTTCAAAGGAGAAAAAGTACTAAAGCAGCTTTGTTTACAAAAGCTGATATCGATAGAATTAGCAACAACAAAAATTACAATGATAGGAGATTGGGAACGAGATTTTATGAAATTTTAAGTTTCTTGATAAATATAAGTCTAGTTGAAAATAGTACAAAAAATATTTCATCAACTTGTTGCTCTTACATTTAAAGCTTAGATTTTAGGTTTTTTCGTTTCCAATCTCCTATCAAAGTAATTTTTTAAAGAAATTTTAAAGAATCTTTTCGTCATGCATATGAACGTAAAAAAATTTGGATTATTCTTGTTTATAAATTGGTAATTTCAAACATTTAAAACCTTCCTACGCTAATGTATATATATACATATAATTTGATATAGTATATTCAATATTATGGTTTAGTTTCATTATAACTATATCAAATTTTATATATATATATATATATATATATATATATATATATATATATATATATATATAATTTGATATAGTTATAATAAAACTAAACCATGATATTGAAACAAGTCAAAATTGTCTTTTGACGAATTTAAAGTAGCTTTGAATTCTTTGAAAAGAAACAAAGCAACAGGAGCAGATGAAAATAATGGAAACGTAATTATAGATTGTTTCGGTTTATTAAAAGATGTTCTTTTTAAAGTTTTTAAAGCTTCTTTCAATAAAGGAATATTTCCAGAGTAAATAAAGGTTGCTAGAGTTTCTCTTATCTTTAAAGAAGGTGACAGATCAAAAATTAGCAACTATCGTTCTATCTCTGTGTTTTCGGTATTTTCAAAAACTTTAGAAAGAATAATGCCTAACAAAATCTAAAAACATCTCCAAAAAAAAACTTACTATATAACGAAAAATTTGGCTTAAGGTGGTTCACACCCTTAATTTTAGTCAAAAATCTGAAAACATTTTTTGGCTTTTGGTTATGTAAAACTTTAAAATAAATTCAAGTATATTATTGGAATTTATTAAAGTATTGAGTATGTTGACGAAAATTCATTTTTGTGCAACCCTATAAAAATCACGCCCTTAGCAACACCATAGCAACGACTCCTAAATATTGAAATTATTACATTACAAGCATGAAAACTTGCTTTATCAAGTTGGAAAAAGTGTTATTGAGGCTGAAAAGACAAGACAATAGTTATTTAAAATCCATACTTTAAAATAACATTTTTTACCACATGAAATTAGAGTTCTTTAATTTGCAGTCTTTACAGTTGCCAAGTGATTTTCATTTGTTTATTGCTATTTTTGTTATATATTCCAAATAAAAATAAATCAAGGGTGTTTAAATTGACAAATGCCTAGATCAACACTTTCAAAACATAAAAGAAAGTTCTCTGGTAATTAATACACTGCAGATTCCAAAAAATTTTCTATTAATAATGCAACGTAAATGGACAATCAAAGGATAACATTAATGAATAAAAAGTGTACTAAGAAAAGAAAGAAACTGAGAAGCAAACTGAGAATTTGTGGAGGAAGAAAACAAAGTGAGACTATACCAGCCTATGCAATTGAGGCTTATTAATTATTTTATTTGCACTTTTTCTTTGTTTTTTAGTTTTAACCTATTTACTTTTTTTAGTTATTTTTTTAGTTAGTAAAATTATTAAAAATATATATTATTTTATTTTTTTAGTTAGCAAAACTTTTAAAAATATAGATTTAATAGCTTTTTTTGTATACACCCCTGTGAGTTTTTGCCTTTTTTTACAATTTTTGTAACAATTTTTGTAAAACAAGTAGGAAATTTCTGAATCTGCTTCAACTCCTGTGAAACTACCTAATAATGATAGCCTGAAAGTTGTAGGTTCAAAAAGAAAATCTTTCTTACTTACTCGCAGATTTAAATTTTGTCTTTTTAAGCATAAAAGTATGAATTTAATTTTAAAAGTATGAATTTAATTTTTATTTTAATGGAAATTGTTCATTGATTTTTATAAGTTAACTAGAAAAACCAGCTAAAATAACTAGCTTTCTTTGAAATTTTTTTTAAGGGTATAAACCATCTTAAAGAAAAGGTAACTCAATAGAGCATGCAATAATCCAGTTTTTGCATGAAATCTTGAAATCTTTTGAAAAATCACAGTACTTGTTGGATATCTTCATTGACCTATCAAAAGCTTTAGACACAGTAGATCATTATATTTTACGACTAAAATATAATAAAATTTAAAAAAGTATATAAAAAAAACTGAAATATGTAAAAATTAAAATATTATGGAACTGTTTTAAAATGGTTTAGATGTTACTTAAGATAAAGAAATTCATTTGTAATTTGTAACGACGGTTATCAAAACAATTATCTTGATATCGTATGCTGTGTTCCTCAGGGTTCAATCCTCGGACCCCTACTTTTCATGATATGTATAAATGGTTTGAATAAAGCTTCTAACCTTATAAGTATCATAAACACAAATGATTCCAATTAATTCTCTCAACCAGTAATATATATGAACTCTGTTTAGTAATATATATGAACTCTAACTACCAAAATAAATAAAGAATTAAAACATACATCAAACTAATAATAAAACTAAATGGACTTTATCCCATTGGATGCAAAAAAGCGATTTTTACCAACAAACTTACTGCAACTTTATATAGAAAAAATTTAAAAAAAAGATTCCGTCACAAAATTCTTAGGCGTTATCTCGATGAAAACATCTCTTGGAATCAACAAATTAATTATATACTAAAATTTCAAAAACATTGGGATTCTATATAAAGCTCGTAACTACCTTAATAAAAATTGCTAAAGCCAACTTTATTACTCGTTTATCCAGAGTTACATAAATTATGCTAACACTGCTTGCGGGAGTACTGTAAAAAGTTAGATTAAAACTTTTTTTATCGTCGTCAAAAACATGCAATCCGCATAATTAATAGTGCTCAACGTTTTACACATACAAAACCTATTTTTAATGAAATGAGATTATTAAATTTATTTGAACTCAATGAATTTAAAGTTTTATGTTTTTTATATTAATGGAAAAATTATCTATTCCCTACCGTTTGTAATAATACTTTCAAACTCAAACCTTACAACAAATACAATGTGAGAAACATATTTTTTTTAAATGAGTCGTTTTGTCACGCAAAATTTAATTAATTTTGAATTGCTTGTCGTCAATTATATATTGTTGAATCCCTATGAAATCCCGTGAGTCCCTATGAAATGAAATCCCGTGAATCGCTATGGATATATATTATTTTGCGGAATATTGTTTTGCGGAATTTTGCACTATCACACTGTGGACCAGAGTGACCGCCAGGTTAAGTTGTTCCCCAGGTCTGATATTTTTGTCAATAGTTGGGTATACATTAGTTGGCATTATTTATGCCATTAAAAACTTCTGAGTGATTGGACTAAGTAAAAAAAAATTTGCTCAAAATTTTTTTTTCCATAAAAATCTTAATAAATTAGTTAAAAACTCGGTTTAAAGTCCGCGACATTATTAAACTGTGTATAAAATGGCGGACTATTTACATAAAACGTGTGCTGTTTGTCTTACACAGTTTGGTAAAAAGTCATCAAAAATTCAAAAGATTACTCCAGCAATTGAAACAAAGATAAAAACTTTCGTCTGGAGCCAGTATAGTTTAGATGTAACCAACTATCCCAAGATTATTTGTAACAACTGCCACAGAAACCTCTATGATCTCGATAGGAACAAAGTGGAGTACCTAGGTAACTGGATAGAAAAGATATCCAAGGTAAAATTCATGTTAATCTGTTTTTTTGTATATAATAATTATTATTACTTTCTAGTTAATATTTTTTTATTTTTTATCTTTTTATTAAAACATGATACATGTGTTATAAAAAAAACTTTCTGTTTTTCTGTTGTGTGCGTAGACTTAAAATGTATATAACTTCTTACATTATATATACAGCACTATAAGTATATGTATATACATATACTTAGTGTTAGTATGACATGCATTGAGGTATTTGAGTATAATGTGTGTATATGTAGTATATAGGTACGCGGAAATCGCGATTTACGGAACCGATTTTTATGCTAGAATTTTGGTCCTCGTTTTTTTCACTCTTTTTTAGGCAGCGTGAGGCAGACGTAGTTTTGTGGAGTTTCCATCTAAAAACATATATACACATAGATAAGACTTTATTATGGGATATTTTGCTCCTGAATATTAGCTTGATGTTCTCTCATGAATTTGTGGTCGAAGAAATGTAGAGTCTGCTTTTTTTATTATTAAAATAGCTTGTTTCATGCATTTTCTATGCACATGCCAAATTTCAA